CCTGAAAGCCTCCTCACAATACACTCGAGGCCTGAAAGCCTCCTCACAATACACTCGAGGCCTGAAAGCCTCCTCACATCACTCAGCATATCCTCACATATGGCCCTCGGCCTCAATCAGTCCAAAAATAATCATAAGCCCCTCGGGCATCAGTAAAGAAACAATAATGCTCAGCTCAAACAGTAGTTCAAATATCAGTTAAAACTCGAGGTTGAGTAAAAATATAGCTGAGTTCATGAAACAGTGTAATGACAATGGACTGAGTTCAAATAATATTTCAAATAGTGAGGAAAACAGTGATGATAGCTCATAGGGAGTTCAAACAGTCGGCAATAAGCCCCAAATATGGCAATAAGCCCAAGTCCTAGTGAAAAACAACAAGTCATAGCGAAATATGCGGTAAAATCAACAACCGGGACGGACCAAGTCACAATCCCCAATGGTGCTCTACCCCACGCTCTCTATCTGGCGTGCAAGTCACCTCAATATAGCACTATGGGTGCGAATCCGGGGTTTCAAACCCTCAGGATATCATTTACAATCATTACTCACCTCGATCCGGCGAAATCTCTAGCCCGCGACACCTTTGCCCCTCAAATCGGCCTCCACTCACGTCGAATCTAACCAAAATCAGAGAGAATACGTCACACTAAGCCAAGGGAACAATACCCAATCGAAAACAATCAAAATATAGCAAAAATCTCGAAACTAGCAAAACCCGAGCCCCGGGCCCGCTTCTCGAAAAATTACGAAACTTACATTACCGGATTCCTCGTCTCGCCGCGAGTTCGTACATACCAAGAACTCCCAAATCCGAGCTCAAATGACCTATCAAATCCCAATTTGAAAATATAAGAACTCAAGCCCTAGCTCTTCCAATTTTTACTCCAATTTCCATGAATTAAAGGTTGATTCTTCAATAAAATGACGTTTCTAGGTCACGAGACTTACCTCCAATCAATTCCCGTCAAAATCCTCTTCAATCTCTACCAAAAAGCTCTTATGGTGATCAACAATGGAGGAAAAAATGAATAGGCTCGCGGATGAAATAATCAAATAAAACCTTTTCTGCCCAGGTGCTTTACACTACGCGAACGCGGTCCAAGACTCACGCGTTCGCGATGACCAAATAATGTTGACCACAAATTTACTCTACGCGAACGCGTTTTCCAGTACGCGAACCTCCAACTACGCGAACGCGTTACCAGATACGCGAACGCGATGCACAGGTTCTCTTACCTACGCGAACGCGGCCCTGAGTTATGCGAACGCGAAGACCATTTTCCAGGCCTCTCAAATTTACTCTACGCGTTCGCGACACACCCCACGCGAACGCGATGAACAACACTTCTGCAACAACACAGCTGAAAACATGCATTACTATAAGCCCAAAAATGGTCCGATTGACCACCCGAAATCACCCCGAGGCCCCCGGGACCTCAACCAAAAGCACCATCATATCCCATAACATCATTCAAACTTGTTCCAATCATCAAAACACATCAAACAACGCTAAAACCATCAAATCACATCGAATTCAAGCCTAAGTTCTTCAAAAACTTCCGAAATGCACTTTTGATCAAAAAGTCTACCAAACCTCGTCCGAATGATCTGAAAATTTGCACGCACATCCCAAATGACATAACGGAGATACTGCAACTCTCGAAATTCCATTCCGACCCCTATATCAAAATCTCGCCTATCAATCGGAATTCGCCAAAATACTAACTTCGCCAATTCAAGCCTAATTCTACACCGGACCTCCAAAATAAATTCCGATCACGCTCCCAAGTCACAAATCATCTCCCGAAGCTAACCGAATCACCGGAAATCACATCCGTGCCCTCTAACTCATAAGTCAACGTCCAGTTGACTTTTCCAACTTAATTCTTCTTAAAAGAGACTAAGTGTCTCATTTCTTATCAAAACCAATCCGAATCAACTCTAACTCACCACACACTGGTAATGAAACATGAAGAAGTAATAAATGAGGAAAACGGGGCAATAATACCTGATACGACGGGTCGGGTCGTCACAAATAGCTTGTGCAATAGTATACATATAGTATATAGAAGTTTTGACAATAACGTCATACATGCAGAATTATGATACTGATCAATGTGCTTCTAAGTATGTGTTTGTCCGCGAATTCAACTTTCTTCTTCTGAAACTAAAGAATATCCTTTTAAATTTATATGAAAATAATTTTCAGTATGTTTATGTTTTGTAGTTATAATAAATAAAGCACAAGGACAAACATCCTAAATATTGGACTATATTTACCATAATATATTTTCTTACACGAATAACTATATGTTGCACTTTCAAGAGAGATATCAATATCGACAACAATACATCTTGTTATGGCAGAGTAACCAAAGCATTAGAGGAAACATATACAAAAAAAACATTGTCTATAAAGAAGTGTTCGCTAAGATACCTTCACATTAGATACCTTTAAACTATAATACATAGTCATCTCTTAATATGAATAAAATTGATTATGTAAGTTCTGATGATGTCCTTTTATTTTGAGTTCACGTATTATGCTAATGCAATAATATTTTTTCGGCATTTAGATGATTGTTGCAGTATTATATATAAAGTTTCTCTCATTAATTAAATTATATTGTATAAATAAATATTTAAATCATCATGTGCCATTATTATCGTGCAACGCACGTTTATAGATACTAGTATAATAAAATATATACAGGATATGTCACACACACACATATGTATATATATACGACTAATATATGTATAATATTTTTGTATATATTTAAAAATATATATAAAATATATGGTTTATATACATATAATACCAGAAATAGGGCAGCTTACTAGTTTACAATTTTTTTTGACAAACCCAAAAAAAATAAAAATTCAACTCTTTGCGCAGTTTTATATATATATATATATATATATATATATATATATATATATATACATATATATGGTATATTTTGAATTATTATATTAATATTCCAAATATACATTGTGTATATTTATTTTTAAAAAAAGAATTATGTACTATCTTTATCAAAATAATATAATATTATATCAATAAAATAATTTTAATATACACTTCATAATATATTTAATAAATAATTATTTAATATATTATACCAATTATATAAAATGTATATAATATTTATAATGTTACAAACATCAGTTATTTACCTAAATATGTATATGGTGTTTATACCAAATTAATTAATATAAAATATGTTTTTCATACATACATTTATCAAACCATAGTTTAATGATATGAATATTTTAATTTGATATAAACACCCGATACGAATAAGTTTATATCATTTATGTGCTCGTCCATTACTACCTATCTATATACTAGACGAGTTCATCCATTTAATTAAGGAATAGTTACTTCCTATAGCAAAGGTTGATACCTTATTTATTTTAAATAAATACCCTTTTAAAAAATTATATTCCATAGCTACCTTTTGATTTTTATAGTCAAATATCTATTTATGGTTACCTCATACCCTTAAGCCATAAAATAAGCTTTGTATTATTTTTCTCTCTCCACTCAAATTTCTCCTATCCCTAACCAAAAGCTTCAGCCGAGGACCCCTAAAAAAGCTGCCCACCCCCAATCTCTCACTCATCAGCAGCCCCATCTCGTTCTCATTCTCTTCAATGGAGGATAGACCTTTTCCTTCTTGATAGAGCAATAGTCGTCCTTCCCATTCCCCTTCTCCAAGAACGCCCAGCACTCCACCCCTCACAAACCTGATCATCCACCCACCTTCCTAAGAGAGGATTATCATCCTTGAATTCCAAAAAGAAAGCTGTTAGCAGCCCACTCCATTAACAACCTCCAGTCGCCACCCCAAGAAAATGGAACGAACATCAGCTGCAAAAAAAAAAAAGAGGAACGAAGACGACGGAGTTTGGGGCTGAGCAACTTGATTTTTCTGTTAATATATTTCAATGTATTTCAATGCTCTCGCTGTATTTCCATCTATTTCATTGTATTCATCGTCTTTTTTTTTCCATTGTATTTCAATGTATCTCGCTGTATTCCATGTATTTCATTGTATTCGCTGTCTCGTTGTATTCCATGAATGTATTCATATGTTTTTTTAACTATTCAGATGTACTATATAATTTCTCTGAAGATTGCTATGTTTTTGGAGTGTTTTTCGGTTGAGAATCTTTTTTTATAACTCCAAATACAAAAATTGTGTGTTAGAATTGAGTTTGTTGAGTTATATTAGGAGTCTATTATGTTAATTGATTCACTTTTCGTTTAAAAATAGTGTAGTCCCCTGTTTCACGCCGTGAATACAGTCGAATAGAATAATCTGTCCAGCTGTAGTTCCATATTTCACGTCATGAATACAGTCGAATACAACAATCTGTCTAGATGTAATCCCCTGTTTCATGCCTAGAATTGCTACTGTATTCATGAATACAATAGCTTAAATACATCGAATACACTCTAAAAAATCTGAAAACATAACTATAGAAAGTAATATAGTAAATAATAGCTACAATTAGCTAATAACCACTAAAACATAAAGTGGTTTCTGAAAGTTTCTCTTTAATTAATCTTTGAGCTTCTATCAGATTGGTCCAATATAGAAGAAATAATGGGTTTCCTTTGTTTGTTCTTGTGGGCTTACTGACTGAACTCTGATCCGAAAGCCCAATACAATCCAGCCCCTTTTTTTTTTTACAAACATACGCAATATCGAAGAGAACTCTTCTGTTCTCTTTCTGATGGAACACTTTCCTTTCTTCATCTGAAACAATCAAAAACCTATATTTGTCCTTCTTTAGCTCAATCTTCTCATTCAAGAACTTACTACCTTCAAATCTTGTTAGAAAAACTAAGATCCATCTCGAAGTTAAAGGCAAGAAAATGAAAATATCTTGTACCACAGTTATTCCTTTTTTTTTTTCCTTTTCTTTTGCTGTTCTTATTGTGGGATTGCTTATTCTTTTTCTTTTTTTTTCCTTTACTACTTCAGATGAAATGGAGACCAAGTTCATATTTTGGAGCCAATGGCGTCACTGCCTTCAAATCTTGGTAAAAATATAAGATCCATCAAGTAGCAAAAGGCAAGAAACCTAATTAGTTACTATTAACTTGTTTGTTTGTTATGGTTATTTTGTGTTAATTTTTGTAGTGGGTTAGCTGATTTTTTATTATTAATGTTCAGATGATTGTAATACCTCAATGTATTCCTAAATCCTAACACCTAAAGGGGTTGTTGGTGTTTCTGGTTTTGTGCCTTTAATTTATTCTTCACCAGAAGCACCAATTTGCAATAAAGATTCAAACTTTACAAGAAATTGAACTTGTCTCTATGTTGGTTACGACAAGTCACAGTCCTTCAGCTTCAGCTTCATCTTCCTCATGTTCTTATGGTGGAAATATGGGAGAAAAATCTGATCTTGGATTTGGGGATTTGGATAATTTGTTGCCTGAACTTGCCGGCTCCGACCAGACCCTTTTCCGGTGTATCTCCGGCGATATGGAGGACCCATCAGTCAGCTTAAAACAATTACTACAAGGAGGAAATGAAAATGCTGATTTGGGTTGTGGAGTTTCTGTTCAAAGCTCTGGTTTTGAGGTCTCAGCTGCAGGTTCTTTAGCTCATACAGATAATGTCTCTTTTTCTAATTCAAATCTCCTTCTAAGTGCTAACATTGAGAAAATTGGATCTGTCATAAACTCTGACAACAAGCAAAATGTTAACTTTGAACACCTGAATGTCAATCTTTTGGCAAGAAATTTACCTCCTTCTTTGAGCTTTCAAGAACAACAATCAGAACAGAATTCTGCTTATGTTAACATGTTAGGCTCATTATCATATGATATAAGTCAAGAACAGCCCCCGCCCAAACGCCACAATTCGGGTACGCTTGGTTCAAGCTTAAGTGCTCTATTGCCTGAAGTTCCATTTTTTGACTCCAGTGGTGACTTATTGCTGAGGAAACAACCATTGGGACAAATGCGGCAGCAAGTCAATTTACTGCCTTTTCACCAGTTTCAGCAAAAGCCATTAATTGTACCTAAGCTTGAGGCAGCTGGTGGTGGTGGTAATGGTAATTTGATGGTGCCTCGTCATCAACAACAGGAACAACAGTTTATTTATGACCAGATTTTTCAGGCCTCTGAATTATTACTGGCCGGACAATTCTCAAACGCGCAAATGATATTGGCGCGGCTCAATCAACAGCTCTCTCCCCTTGGCAAACCCTTCAAGAGGTCTGCTTTTTACTTCAAAGAGGCTCTGCTATTGCCTTTCCTTTTGCCTTGTACATCCACATCTTTTCCACCAAGAATTCCCACCCCATTTGATTGTGTGCTTAAGATGGATGCTTATAAGGCCTTTTCTGAAATATCTCCACTTATTCAGTTCATGAATTTCACCTCCAATCAACCTATTCTTGAAGCTCTTGGGGATGCCAAGGAAATTCACATAATAGATTTTGACATTGGCTGTGGTGCTCAATGGTCCTCATTTATGCAAGAACTCCGGAGCAGCAATAGAAAGGCAACTTCTCTAAAGATTACTGCCTTTGTATCTCCTTCAACCCACCACTCCGTTGAGATTGGCATCATGCACGAGAGTTTAACGCTGTTTGCTAATGATGTGGGAATCAGATTTGAGCTGGAAGTTATTAAACTTGGTACTTCCTTTGTACCCCTAAGACTTATCCCTNCAACTTTCACCAAAAGTTGTTGTATCATTGGAACGTGGATGTGAACGTACTGAACTCCCCTTAAAGCATCACCTCCTCCACGCCCTCCAATATTATGAGATACTCTTAGCCAGTATTGATGCTGCTAATTTAACTCCCGAAATTGGGAAAAAAATTGAGAGGTCTCTTCTCCAGCCTAGCATTGAGAACATGGTCTTGGGGCGCCTCCGATCCCCCGATCGAATGCCCCCGTGGAGAAATCTATTTGCTTCTGCAGGATTTTCACCTATTGAATTTAGTAATATGGCTGAAATTCAGGCTGAATGTGTTGTTAAGAGAACTCAGGTAGGAGGATTTCACGTTGATAAGCGCCAGACGTCGCTTGTGCTATGCTGGAAGCAGCAGGAGCTCTTGTCAATTTTGGCTTGGAGGTGCTGAGGAGCTTTATCTAATGAAGCCAGAAGACTCTTTCCATTTAACAGCAACATTTCCTAGAGGTTTTGACTCTTCAATTTGATAGTCTGTTCAAAATTTAATCTACATTGCTATCACCTCCACTATTGCCTGTAAATTCTTTTTGGTACATCTAATTCTCCATATGTAGTCTTGACTGTAGGCAAGCATTCCTACGTGTAAACAGAATCTTAACCACTTTCCCTGTTTGAAAATCTGCGTTGTATCTTTCAGCATTTCCCTGTGTATTAATTGCTTTCTTTTTTACCTTGTTTAATAATAATAATAAAAAATCGTCCATTTCTCCATATTTGGGAACAATTGGTAAGTGCTAACAGATATTAACATGATTTATTGATAAGCAGTATGATAATCCTTTATTGATGAATGCTAATGTTATCATCCGCTTGTTTGCCTGGTGTCGTTTGCATGTAAACTGGATAGTAATGGCATGTTTTTTCTGGCTGAGTGTGCTGAGCCTCCTGGTTACAGGAAAGTCACTTCCTATGTAAATAATTTTTTTGTGCTCTTAAAGTGTTGGATACGATGTTTGAATTTTGATAGGTATATTGAGGTCGGATAAGAACCAGATCTTTAGGGTTATGCACCGGACAGATCTTTTCTACAGGTCTATACTCTTATTAGAATTTACACTTGGAAACAATATTCTAAACTTCAGTTTTTTTCGCTTGCAAAAGATCGTCTTTATTTTGCTTCCAGGTAGAGTAAGGAATCTAGTTTGACTGAACTCCAGCATAGTCCTTCTAATATTTGTAACTTGCAGTATGTTCATATGAATTATGAAATTTGGAAATCTTGTAGTTTTATTATCATGGATATAGAGGATTATAAATTATTCAATCGATTTGGCTTTGAGGCATAGTAAGCTTGGCGAAATACTCCTATGCTTACTGCATTGCTCAGGAAAATAGGCATGTCTACGCGTTGCAATATTAAACAAAGTAGCCACAGAAATCTCACTAGCTGTTGTCGCTACGTTGCTTATGTTCCTTTTGGTGCAAGTCACTGTCAACCTATGTTGCTCGGACTTTGCAAAAAATGTTGCCGGGTGCACGTCGGATCCTCCAAAAGTAGTGCATTTTTGGAGGATCCGACACGGGTGCGGCAACATCTTTGGAGAGTCCGCGCAACATAGCTGTGAACACACATAGTATTTGTATGCTGCTAATGGAGGAATGAATTAATTCTTCTTCAATCAATGCATTTTGGACAGGGGAAGAATTCTTACTAGTTTGGTTCTTCTCAAAGTATAAGCTGATATTGGTTTATTACTTTCACTGTATTAATTATATGCAATTTTTGCAAGTTATGAAGCTGTTGTAAATTCTCTAAGGAGAGCCATTTCATATTTTGAGTAAACAGCTTTTGACTACTGATTAGCTCTTGTCCTGACATAATCTAACATTCTTCCCACACAAAGAATAATTGGGCCATGTTATGGTCTTGACTTTTTTGTTTTAGTCCTCTCTAGACTTGTTTGTTCATGTTTTATTGAGGTTTATGCTCTTTTATAACTCCCCATTTTATATGACATACTTTCGCTTTTAGTCTGTTCCCGAAAAAAGGAATGTTCTTGTCCCATTTTATATGACATACTTTCGATTTTAGTTTGTTCCCGAAAAAAGGAATGTGATCATTCTTGTTTAGAAATAATTTAAGTTTAAGGGTACTTTTTGATAACCTCGAGTTTTTTTCTCTCTCCTCAGTTTAACTTTCTATTTTACCTTTAATGACATGATTTTAATTTATATAGACACAAAAATTTCACCTTTCCTTTCTTCTCTTTTAGCAGCCTCGTAGGCCGACTGAAGACCGAATAAAGCAGCTCAAGCCCCCTTGGGATCTATCTAAGACAATTTGAGCTAATCGATGTCATGTTTAAGATCATAAGTTTTAAATCAAACACCTTGGCATAAAATGAGATGGAGCTCTGGAGTTCCATCTCCCGAGTATCTTGATTTGCCCGTTTGATTTGGTAAACTCTCTAAGTAAATGTTGCTTAATATTCTGTCACGTCCCGAACCTGGATCTGGACGTAACACGACACTGGGTGCCTGACTACATGTGACCGAGCGAACCAACTGGCTGGCTGAATCAACATGTGGTATCATAACATACTGAATGCGGAAGATAAACTAACACATGCTGATATACTGAAAGTCTGGATGATATAATCAAAGTGCGGAAATACTAATACAATTTTGAAACATATTTGTAGCCAACATAGCTTAATATAAAAAGCCTGTAACTCTGTCTAGCTGTTACTCTAGTCTATGAAGCCTCTAATGAAGTACTGAAAACATTGACTATCTGAAATCACTAAAGACTGTAAGGTAATGATAATGCCCCGAAAGAACTGGGGATCGCCAAATAGCTGGTACGAGAATCCTAGCGCTCTGAATCGTCAACCTGTAAATTATTACCTGCACCGCGAGATGCAGGCCCCGGGCAAAAAGGACGTCAATACATTTGAATTGCACTGGTATGTAAAGCAACTGAAAGAAAGAATTATAAATGCTGAAACTGAAACTAAGCTAATAACTGAGAACCGATAATTGATAACTGAAATGATAACTATTGAAATTGAAACTGAAATGATAACTGATAACTGAACTGATAACTGATAACTGATAACTGAAATGATAACTAATAATTGAACTCAACAAAGGAAGTAAGGATATGAATACTGCCTCTTTTGAATGATAAACAACCTGTTTATCGGAATAAGCTACGACCTCGAGCCCAATATATATGTGCACAAGCTACGGCCTCAGGCCCAAACATGCATAAAGCATAAACTACGGCCTCAGGCCCAAGTATGCATAAAGCATATAAACTACGATCATTCAGGAACTGAGAATCATACTACATGATATTGAAATATTGAACCATACTGAGTTACATGATACTTGAATGCTGAATAGAGCTAGATTGAGACATGTATTCATGAACTGATTATGAAAATTGAAACTTCAACTGTTTATGACATGACATGCTGAGTAATCTAGACTGAGACTCGTGGGCATCAAACCCAAGTCTATATTGATTACGCATTGATTTCACACGTTCAGAATGAAAGTCATGAATGAGTTACGAAGCTAGAGAATAGAAGTCTGCAACTATTCAAGGAATTAGGCTTAACTATATTTCTGAGGCAATTGGTAACGTGGTAAAAGAAACGTAGTGTAGGGAGAATCATTAAAATTCCCGAACATAGAGAGTTAGCCTCACATACCTTAACTTCCTGCTTTTGAGCGTAATACAACATTCGCCAACCCTTTGAACTTTAATCTATATCAATACAAGTCAAAGGGATTCCATATTAGCAATAATACTCATGTTTTGGTTACTTAGGCATTTTCTCAAATACTTGGTGGTATAAAGCTTCATAGTCCTTATTAGTGGTGTCTCTACACCCAATAACCCATTCTCTTGCTCTTAGATAAATTCTAATGTCTCAAATGGTTATAATCAACATCATTCTTTATCACCCATAAGGTAAACAGCACCCTTAACCAATAATCAACAATCAACACCTCAAACCTATACCTGTTCATGCTTTTCTATCAAACTCATCAACTTATATCTCATGAACTAGAGTCAATAATCATTAATCCAATGCTAAAATCAATTAGAGAGTGAAAACATTACCTTTTTGAAGTTCAATCCCCTTGAATTCGAGTTCTAGGGTTCCTTCTCTCAACAATGATGTCCCAAGCGAATATCTAATGATATGGAGGGTTTACCCATATTAATAAGATGTGGGAAATTAAAATTAACTTAGAATCATCATTAGAACTTACCTTGAATGGTGGAGGGACCCTTAAGGAGTTAGGTTTTTGAGAGCTCCCCGTTCTAGACCAAAATTTTGTGTTTTGGGGGTGTGGAGGACGAAGTAGGGCTTCAGAATGACCCCCCAAGTGTGCCGCCCGCGAACCTGAAGGCCTGACCGCGCACCTAACCACGCAAAATGGCAGTAACACTGCCACAAGTGCGCGGCCGCGCACGGGGCGCGCACTGGGCGCGCATATTACGCTCGGTTCTGTAAAACACACATAACTTTTTGCGCAGAGATCCGTTTGGGCTTCACAATATATTGTTGGAAAGCTATTTCAAAGGCCTACAACTTTCATGTTTTGAGTTTTTCTATATACCTTACACATTCTCTAAATCCTGCTGCAAGACTGACATTTTGTAAACTTAGTAGATTTTGTCGAATCTTACGCACCTCACTCTCCATTTTGATTCTGAAACAACTGTTTTCACCAATAATCATCCCTCAAGGACTTCATATGTCTAAACTATCAAATTCATACCCATTTAACATAACCACACCTAGTCCGAATGTACTGGGTGTTACATATTTATTCCTATGACTATTGTTGTTTCACTTTATTTATGTGATACTACCCTTTGTAACTGAGACTGGAAAACTGTTGATTGCTCCATTCTATTCTTTACACAAAGGACTTGTAGTAAATGCGAAACAACACTTTGTTAAGAATCTACTATTAAGGGTGTGATTTAGTAGTAAATGAAGTCGGATAAAAATTATGGAAACTTGGATTTCAAATTTTTATAGAGATAGAAAAACACAAAATGCCGTTTTTTCACTTGCTTAAGCTTTAATGGGCATAGTTATTTGATATACATGCTAGTAAAAGATACTTCTTCTGGTCCATAATAAATGACCTTTTGGTATTTGGCGCACCCCTTAAGAAAATGGCTCTTTTCATTTTTTACCCCGCGCGTCAGAAACTATTCACATTCGGTAGTCAAAAAGGTATATAAAATTCGTATAGGAAATTTTACCTCCTATAGCAAAGGTTGATACCTTATTTATTATAAATAAATACACTTTAAAAAAATTATCTCCTATAGCTACCTTTTAATTTTTATAGCAAAATATCCATTTATGGCAATTTCCTACCTTTAAGTCATTAAATACGCCGTGTACTTCTCTTTTTCCCCCAATTTTTTCCTCCCCTGCTTTTAGAAACCCTAGCAAGGGCTGTGTTCCGCCAACGACAGATCCGGCCGGCGACCACTTCCCTCTTCCTTGTTGTGTCACCCCTAACCCCCTCCTCCGGCCGGCGATTTCTTTCACACAGTTGCGTTACACATTCTAAATTTTTCTTAGATTTTGCATTGATTGTTCATGTTTGCCTTGTGAGATCTGAAGAAGTTTTGTCTCTAGTTTCCGTTTGATCCTTTAAATTGGTGCTTCTTCAATAACGGTCTTCATTTAACTGGCGGCGACGCCTCACATGGCGGCGGCCTGGATATC